GTGGGAATTGCCAAGCAGAGATACTCCAAGAGCTGTGAAAAGAGCCCGGGGGAGGGGTGTGAGGAGACAAAGCCAGTGAATTAATTGATCAATCTGTGTCCTTCGTAATGAGATTTCCTTGTTCTCAGTCCTTTCCTGGGGTTTCTGTGGGAGCCCTGAGAACATACAGATTCATTTGCTCAAAGAGATTGTAATCAATCTGAGAGAAGACCATGCATAGGGACCCTAAACAAAGAGTCAAATATTTGATCAGGTTTAATTCATGACAGAGGAAGTCATAGGAGATTTTCGGTGAGGATTAGGGCTTGGGGAAGTGTCAGGCATCAGGGAGGTCTTCCTGGAGGAAGGTCGTTTTGGAAGGAAGCTCTTGGGGGACTGTGGATCGCTGAGGGTCTCCCTGTGCTAGGCTCAGATTAATTCTGCATTTGCATGTCACCCTAAGCAGCAGAGTAGTGAAGACCACCTGGGAGGCCATGGTCAGCTTTGCGGTTGAGCCAAGCGACTCTGGGACCTGTGTAAAGAGCGAAGGAGGGAGGTGGAGATGTAAGACAGGTTGTGAGAGGGTTTGCCTGAGAGTCCTCGAAAGAGGATGACTACAGCCATGCCCTCCCTTGAGATTACCCAGTAATTGGAAGCCTGCACAAAAACAGTTTCTTTCCCTCTGCTCACAGTCCAGCAAAGTTTTCCTAGGACATTTGGACCCTGTTCTCAGAGATCCTGCAGCCCAGGGGATGAGAAAACCAGTGCCCACAAGGCAGGGTGGGACTTGCAAAACAGAGATCTGCGAAGAGCTGCAAAAGGAGACCATGGTGGGGGATATCAGGTGGGCAGCATCATCCATCCCGTAAATCTGCGATAGAACAGGACCACAGCCCCATCCTGTGGGTCACCTCTATTGCTGCAGATTGCTCCCACAAGGAGAGGAAAGTGGCCACTCAGGGCAGCACATCTGGAAAGTCCTCTGGGCCGCAGTCAGCGCTTCCCTTCTCCCCCAGGCTTCTTGGCTAATAAGCCATGTGCTCCTGCTATTTTGTCCCATTGGAGCCAAGCACAGCCTAATGAGGAGGGTGGTGGCGCCCATTATACAATGACAGTGTGTGGGCAAGGACTCCCCAGGGTGCCCCTGACAATGACTTCCCTTAGAGGGCTGTGAGGCAGGGGCAGAGGTGGGGTGCTGCTGTGGGTCAGGCAGTGCATGTGTGGGGGTGGAGGCTCCATCCCAAGAAGGGAGAGACTTCCAGGATGCCTGGAGAGGGTCCTACCACCTGCCAAAGCAACACTGATAGGCACAGAAATGCTAATCAGACTCAGGCATCAGGATCTAAGACAATAACCTCAATGCAGAAAACACAAAATAACCAGGCAGCCTTTGTAATTAACTTCCGCTCCCTTCCAGCAGTCATTTGGAGTTAATGGTTTCTTAATTCAGTGCTCATTTGGTGGCTTTAATTTCCAATTAATTTTGCCGATTTTCCTCCAACGCGCTCATGGGGTGATAGAAAATTCCTATATGGTGAAGTCCCTGCCCCAAGGGACTTAGAGGGGGTGGGAAAGGGAGAGGCTGAAGTTGAGTGGCTGCCCGAAGGCTGGAGACCTGCCTAAGTGCAGGAGTTTGAAGCTCTGGATTCAGGGGTCCTCTGGAGTTTGGGGATCCTCGGGAGAGTCCTCCTCTAAGGAGAAACTGGTAAGAGCTGAAGAGGAGGTGCCAGGGATGAAGATACATGTCTCCAGCTGTTGCTGGGAGTTTTCACTTAGTGTGAGTTGAGGAAGAAGCCCAGCCCAGCTGGCAGTAGAAGAATCAGAACCAAGGACAAACACCTTCCTCTCTATCAATCAAAATTGGGAGAACTGAGAGGTCCTGATGCTCTGAGCCAACACCACTGGTGCCCAATGGAACCCCCTTTGCTGGGGCTGCCCATCTGGTAGACAGGATTGAGCGGTACAGGTAAAAGTCTATACTCCCTCTCCTTTGCCCCCATAACTCCTTGCATTAAGGTACGATTGACTCTTGGGGGGCAGTGAGATCCAGACAGGTGCCACAAAGACCATGCCCTCACTGAAGTCATTCCCTCACTCTGAGGGCCCCCACCATAAATCTCAGGCACCCAAGTCTCTGTCTCTAGCTCAGCTGCTCAAACCACAACAGCACAAATATATTCAACTCTGATCCATCTCTTACAGTGTATTAGACACTGTTCAGGGTCCTGTACAAAAAGAACTTCATTCTTTCCTCCTGGAAACTCTAGGAGACAGTCAGTATTTCACTTCTGAAGACATAAGATAGAGTCGTGGAGAGGTTAGGGGACTTGTCCAAGGTCAGTGGCAGTCGCAAGTACAGAATAGGAATGTGAGTCCCAGCACCCTGGCTCCAGATGGTGCCCTCAAGCACTATGCCATCCGAGATGAGGCCATGGTCTCAAATAACTTCCCCCAAGGTGTGGGTCATGTACTTAAAGGGCCTGAGCCCCTGGGGTGGGTTTAGAGTCCTTTTCTGGGGGACTGAGGGACAGGGAAATCTGAAGTGCCAGAGCTCTGGTCTCATGGTACCAACCCCTGATCTTAGGCATAACTTCCTCCCCACTAGGATGGTCCCAAAGATCAAAAGCTTGGTGCAAAGGGACAGATGCTACAGCACAGGCCAGACACCTAGATTCTGGGGCTCACTATGTCTCTGTGACAGACAAATTCTTTTCCATGGTGAACTCGTGCTATATCAGCTCCTCTATGTGCATAAGAGTTAGTGACCAGCCTGGCTCTAGCTTTTGGTTTGTTGAAATGGGAACAGGGCCTTCCCCAGGGGATCCAATGTCAATAGGGTGAGACTGTGGAAAGCAGGGGAGGCACTTTCTATAGGTCACCTGCTAGCAACCATGGCTCTTTCCCCAAGGGACTGGAGTACAGGGGGCCACAGTGTAACAGAAGAATCTGGGTCACAGTGGCCGTGCACTTACCATTGATGGAGCATTCATTCATCAATAACCACTGGGAGCCCCTTAGATAGAGACCTTCTATCAAGACCTCTGCACATGAGATTCATGTCTCCCAGCACTGGAGGTACACCACCATTGGCTTGGTTGTCACAACAAGGCTATCAATGCACTGGTTCTGCCCTACCCACCCCAAGCACTAAGTGACATTCAGACTCTCCAGGGGTTGTTTTTGTGGCTACAGAAGGGGATGTCACCCCTGTAGTTTGCAAGTCACTGGTCCACAAGGGGCCATGAATGTGATGCTCTTTGACTTTCAGTGCTCTTCTAAGAGAGTTCCCTGAGGCAGGGCCAGGGCCAGGGAAGGTGATGAGGGATCATGAGCAGAGCAGTACAAATAGTTCTTCTTTCCTTGTCCCCCATTTCCTCCTCCAGGAATGGTCAGTCAGGGAGGCTAAGTAGGGACAAGGCCACATTCTCTCTGCCATGTTCCTTCTCAGTTCTTCCTCTCTCCCAAAGCATCCACCCTCAGCAATGTCTATGGCAGGGGCTGCTTCCAGAGCAACTCCTGTGCTGGGCATCTCGGGCCCGTGGCCTACTGGGGTACTAGGGGCCACCGCAGCTGTGACTGTTACAGGTCCCGAGCCCCTGCCAAGTCCAGTGAGCCAGAACTGGGCTTTCATCTTTCTGGAACACCAACTGTTCTCCTAGAGCCAGGCCAGTGTGGCATTGGTGTGTTGTGCAAGCCCAGGGCCACCCGTGTGGCTAGAAGAGCCAGGCTGAAGCCCCCACCTCTACCCCCAGCTCATCTCACTTTTCCCGTGCTGCACAAACTCAGCCCTGTCTCTGCCCCTCTGTTAAAAAAAACGGTCACAGCTTCCAAAGCCCCGAATCAGAATGGGTCCTTTGGCATCTAAGGGCTTCTATGATCCAGCTTTGAGCCATCTTCCCTTTAATCACAGATTCTAGTTGAGCCAAACTTCCCTACTGCCACCAGGTCCCAGGACCTCAGCATCTGACATTCCCTCTCTTCTCATTCTATCTCTTCCTGTGGAAATTAATTTTTTTTTTTTTTGGTTGGGGAACCTAGGACTCAAGGAAGACCTAGGCCACAGGTTCCTGACAATGAGTCTGCCACCATTCTTCTCTTTCCCTTGGTCCCATTCTCTCTCTACTCCTTGCCTCTATGTCCCTGGATCCCAGTGACTACAACACAATTACGATTGTCAGACAGTCAGTCCCACATCCTCTCTCAGCCACCTAGAGAAGTGAGACTCAAACTTTTTTTTTTTTTTGCTGCAAAAGGGTTTATTTTCTTTTGGTCCAAGATTTGGGAGAGGGCTCCAGAAAGGTGAGAAAGCTGCTTAAAGGCTGGAGGGAGAAGGTTAGGCAAAGCCCTGATTCCGGGTGATGCAGGAGCCCCTCTGAGACCGCCAGGCTCTAACCTCCTAGTTGTGTTTAAGGGTGAGCCTTTCAAAGAAGTACTCTCCCAGCCCAGCCTGGGGCTTACCAGCCTGCGGAGCATGGTGAGGTGGTTACCCATCTTCTTGATGAGCTTCACCTCCTCATCTAGGAAGTGGTTCTCCAGGAAATCACAGATATGGGGGTTGGTCTTGGCAGAGCCCAAGGCATGAAGGTCCAGAAAAGCTTGGTTCAGGTTCTTCTCCAGGGCCAGGGCAGCTTCCATGGCGTCCAAGGTTTTACCCCACTCGTCTTCAGATGGTTTCTGCACGTCTTGAAAGAGTACACGGCCGCCGCACCGGTTTTGCATCTTCAGGAGATGCTCGGCACCCTCGCGTTTCTCCCTGGCCAGCTCACAGAAGAAATGGCCCATGCCCTCCAGAGCCACATCGTCCCAGTCAAAGTAGTAGCCCAGAGAGAGGCAGGTGTAGGAGGCCTGCAGGTGGAGGTTCACCAAGCGGTTGGCAGCAGCCTCCACCTCGGTGGAATAATTCTGCTGAATCTGAGAGGTCATAGCTGATCAGCAATAAGGAACTACCCACAAAAGAACAGTGTTGTCTGTCCTGGAAGGAGGAGATAGTCGAGAAGATGATCCCAAAACTAGTACCTGGAGAGTGGATGGGAAGATGAAAGAGGGAGTCCCCGGGTCTGTCCCGTCCAAACACTGTTGAAGCAAAAACAGATCCACAGGACCTCTGGATGCGCTGCCGAGACTCAACCTTTAAGTCATCAAATCAGCTGGAACACAGATTACTGGGCCCCGCCTCCAGTGTCAGATCCAAGAGGTTTGGAGTAGATCCCAGGAATCTGTGTTTCTGATCTGCAGTCCGATGTGGTGTCCATTGCTCCAGGAACCTGTGTTTCTAACAAGCTCCCTGGTGGTGTTAGTGCTGCAGCCCAAGGATCACATTCTGAGAACTTCACTTTTGGCTGAGAAATTAACCTTGTAGCTGGGTGTGGTGGTGCATGCTAGCAATCCCGGCACTCTAGGAGACCAAAGCAGGAGGATTGCAAGTTCAAGTCCAGGCTGGGTAAGTTACTGACTTAGTAAGATCCTGTCTCAAAATAAAACAAGTGCTGGGTTGGTAATTCAAAGTGAAGACCTTATGTTCATTCTCCAATACTAAAGCAAAACAAAACCTTAACTTTGTATCTCTGTCCCCAATGAAGACTCAAGAACCTGCACTGTTCATGCCTACTGGTGGCTGTGGTCCCAGAGGGGGTGGCAGGGCTTCCCGGAAGTTGCCATTCAGAACCCTGGGGGAAGGCTTGGGTTTCATTATTACAATGAAGTCACTGACAAGAACATAAAATTCTCTGCAGGGAAAATAGTCACAATGATCTAAAAGTGGCATACTGTAACAATATCAATAGTGGTGGTAATAATACTAATAACATGATTATAATATAATGACATCTGCCCTAATGTGCTAAACCCAGATTGATCTGAGCAATATAAAAGAATTACTGACAGGCACAAATGCTCAAAAAGCCTAGCTTTGATGTGTTTGAGGCCATTCGGGTGAAGGCAACGGTGGCAATGACTGTAATAAACACATTTTCAAGCGCATCTCACCAGCTTTATTGTAGCAAGCAGACCTAGGAAGTAGGCGAGGTGGCTGAGCAGGCTTCCTTGGCTTAGAACTGTCTACACAAGTGTGGGGCATGCTTGTGGTGTATGGGCCAGAGACTGGGCAGGGGCCAGAATAGGGTTACAGATAAAACACAAGTTAGATAAACATTTACTACTCGCTAAAACAGAAATTCCATTTAGATTTCAGAGAAACACAAACTATTCTGTAGTAAAGCTACATTGCAAATACTCCACTGGCCATATACATACCAAAAGAAAAATTTCATCTGAAATTCAGATTTAATAGGGTTCTGTGTTTTTATTTAAATCTGGTAAACCCTACTGGGGAAGCGAAGGGGGGATTAAAAGAAAAACAAATGTTCCTTGGCTTTAGAACAAGCTTTGGAAAGAGATAAAAGACCCCAGACAGTTGGTCCAACGCACACAGTCCATGGTGTGGTGCAGCCCCTCCTGGATGCATGGGAGCAGGGAATCCCCCTAGAGAGCTTGTTAAACTCCATGCTCTGATTCAGCAGGTCCAGGGGGGGGCTCAGGAGTCTCACCTCCAACCAGCATTCAAGTGATGCCACGCTCCTGGTCCCTGGCTGAACCCTGGGGAGGGTGGGTGATGATGGAGTAGTCTAGAAGAACCTCAGACTCCATCATTGCTTCCTGCCAGCCGGGATAAGGACAAGGAGCCAGTGGATCATGGCAGCAGTCACAGAAAGGCCACAGGAGCTGGGACCTTTGCATGAAGGAGATGTAACATTGTTGAAGTTGTCAGCTGAACAGACTAACCTGTGTCCATCGTGGGGTGTACAGTGAGGCCTGAGAGGTGTCGCTTGTAGCATGTGTGCTGATGACAACCCTGAGTATCAATTCAACCTGGCCACCAGGAAGGCAGCAGTAAATATTCTACTGACAGAGGCAGCCATATCCAAGGCTGGGGGTGGCTGATGCCAAAGCGGGGGGGACTTTGGGCTTATGCTCAGGGATGGTGGAGAGAGAGGACAGGGTGGGGTATGTTTGGGGAGGCTTCCTGGAGGAGCAATAGCTGGAGATGGAGAGGAGGAGAAAGGCTTTCTGGGGAGGCGGAGACTGCTATGGACCTGTACATAGGCACAAGGGCTGGGCCACATCCAGCCAGCTGTCCTCTTCCTGTCTTTAGGGAGTATATACCAGGGTCAGGGTTTCTGTAATGTACAGACCAAAGTCAAGATTCAGTCTGTCCTGGGCTGGTGAGATGGCTCAGTGGTCTAAAGCACCTACTTAGAACAAGCTAAGCTAAACAAAAAGCACAGGGACCGCGGTTCAATCCCCAGCACCACATGCCAGCCAGCCCCGCCCCCTGGTGGGCTGAACTGGCCACACACACACACACACACTAAATCAAAAAAAAAAAATTAAAAAAAAAAAAAAGATTCAGTCTGTTCTGGGCATGGTGGTGCATGTCTATAAGGAGACTGAGGCCCGAAGATTTCCACGAGTTCAAAGCCAGCCTGTGCTACATAGTGAGTTCAAGACCAACCTGAACTACGCAGTGTGACTCTGTCTCAAAAAAATAGAAATATTTAGTCTGTTGCCAAAGTTGGACTGCTCAGGGTAAGAAATGGGGGGCATGGTCTGATTATTAGATTTGGACAGTGACCAGCCTGTGAGCACAGTTAGGCTCAGAGCTCCATGTAGGACCTATCCTAAGCTCAGTTTGGGCCAGCATTGAGGGTAGTTTTAAAAAGGTGGGTTCAGCCCATACCAATGCATTCAATGTCATTAGTTCCTCAGATAATGAACCAAAACGAAAGGCTAGCATAGTACAAATGTCATGTCCTCCTTTGTGTCATGTTTAGCCTCCATTTGCCTCTGGGTCTTCTCTTCTCTGCCTGTGTTCCCTCAAGTGGAAGAGGCTGGACAGAGGGAAGGAACACTTTGTATACTCCAAGCAAGTTCAGAATGGGCCGAGCCCGGCGAGAGGCCAGCTGAGCAGGTGCCCAGCACAGGCAGCCTGGTGCACCCACAGCTCTCTGGAGCAATTTGGAGGCAAGCCCCAGGTCACCCTGGAACCTACAGGCAGGTGGCAGGTGGGCAGGCGGACAGCCGGTTGGAGTTGGCAGCCAGGACGACCCAGGTCAAGGCTTTGGGTGGCCGCCAAGGCTGTTTAGTTTGGGGCAGAGAATGGGGGTGGCGATTGCTCAGACTGCTCTGCAGCGAGCCCCAGGGCAGGTGCCAGCAATTTGCCAGTCCTGAGTGATAGAGCCAGGAACCGCTGAGTAGCCCGGAAAGGGCAGGGACCCCTCAGGCCCTCATGGGCATGCTCAGCTGCTGAAGGAAACACGAAGTGACGGCAAGTGACAAAATCGAAAATGTAATTAAGACAGATGGAACCCACTGGCGGGGATGATAAAAGCCATTCCCTGGGCTCTGGTATTTAAAGTGAGGTCACAGGATGACCCCATCCTGGCCACAAACTGACAGAGCAGGCCAGGGAACAAGTTTGAGCACAGAGAGAGAGACAGTGAGCAAACCGAGGTTTGGCTGCTCTGAAAGAGGCTCAGGGCAGGTATGAGGATGAACTTCCTGAATGAGGGTGGTCAGATATAGGCATAAGTGTCCTGGCATCTCCTTTTCCCAAAGAACACATCTATCCCTCCTGCACAGGATTGGTCACATGGACCTGGAACTCTTGTCCTACCCAAGCCCAGGGGGATTAAGCAATAGCTCTGTCATCACACAGGGAAAAGTGGGTGGCATTTACGAAGAGGAACAGAAGGGGGTTCAGTGGGTGACAGGCTCCTGCTGGCCAGCACTGGGAGAGAAAGCAAGCCTGGTAGACAGCATCACAGGCCTGCTCCTCACCCAGGAGGGGACTTTAAGGACCTCCTCAATTAGGCCAACATACAGCAGACATCAGGGCCATTCTCTGAGCCTTGCAAGGTAACAGTTTAGATTCTCCAGAGGCTCTGATAGAGTGACTCAGAGCCCACAGTGACACCCTGTCCTCATTGCCACAGGGGATAAGATATTCGGAATCTGTGGGGAGGTTCACGCAAGAATCCCTGGGCTTGTCATGAACACCTGGTCAGGCCTGCTTTGCCAGCGTCTACCAGTAGAACCAGCTTAGCTTAGCTTTGATGGACGAACTGGCCAACTTTGCTGGTCCCAATTCCCCTTACATCCTGTGCCAGTTCTCTGTGCTGGGCAGCGGGGCAGGCTGAGAAAGTGACCTCTTTATGTTTGGCAAATTCCCAGGTTGCGGGGAGAGAAGAGACTCAGATCCAATTCAGGCTTGCTCTTCTGTTCTCATTTATTGAGCATCTACTCTGTGCCTGGGAAGGGCAGGGGCTCACGATGAAGCTTAAGGTAATACTTTAAGAAGCTTATAGTTTTGTTGGGAATTGAAACCTACAAAGCCATCAGACATGAGCAAAATACTGAGGCATTAACTCAAGGTGATGTGTGGTTCTCACAGCAAGAAGGAAGAGCCAGAGCTCAGGGATGGAAGAACTCCATGCAGCCTGGAGTGGGCAGAACAGGCTTCTTAGAGGAGGCAGAGCTTGAATCTGACTTTTGTAAGAACAGGAAAAAAAAGGCTTGGAGGATTAAAAGAGCAGAATGCATGCTGGATGGGCTCAAGGCAGAAGAAATGGGTGGGGATGGAAAAGAGTCCTGAGAAGGTTTCTTCTGGATATCAGACAGAGCAGGATCAGGGAGTAAAAACAGATTGTCAAACGAGCCCAGCAGATTGGCAGCCACTCTGGGCTCCTACGTTTCTCTTGTGCCTTCCCCAGAGGGTGCACCCTTCTCTGGGATGCTCTCCATGCTCATGACCAAGGGGACAGGCCTCTAGCCCTCACATTTGGGTCTGCAGAGGAGGTTCCCCAGGCCACAGGAAATAAAACCAGATTGAGATAAATGATAACCCCCACCCCCACCACCGTGCTGCCATCAAGGGCCCAAAGTCATTCTGCATCTCCTCCCACAACCAAGAGGTGGCGAGATGCATGGGATGGGCAAGGAGGAGAGTGTACCCTGAGCCCTCGCTGGGCGCCCAGAGTGAGCTGCTCTGACTCTGAGCCCTGTCCTGCCTGGCTCCCCTCGCTGGGGCAGACATAATGGAGACAGGTTGATCCACCATCTCTGAACTATCATTCATGGCAAGACACGTCCTTGTTATGGATACTGAGCATAAAACAGGCCCGCATGATCTGGGTTGGAGAGATGCTTCATCATTTTGAGCACACCATCCATCCATCCGTTGCAGGCCCGGCATTTATGCCTGCAGCCAGAACACTGAGATACCAGATCAAGATTCACCAGGAGTGTTAAGTCATAATTTATGCTGCTCTCTGTCCTTTGTAGGGACAGTCTTCCTGAGACAGCTGTCTCCCAGACTCGCTGTGCTTGATGTGTATCCCCTTGTCCTCTTGCAGCCCTCTTTGGGAAGGGTTTTCTTCGTCATCTGCCCCAATCCTACAAGTCATTCTGTATCTCACTTTAGGCAACCTGTTGGCTCTGACCTGGGTGCAAAGACCCCACAGTCTAAAGTCTATACTTCCTTCTGTTTTGCTGCGGGGTCCCTCATGACCTAGGACAGTCCGTCACCCATGGCAGCTCTGGGAAACATGACGTTTCAAGTCCCAGCTGTGTTTGGCTTTAAGAAATAATTTTTCTTGGGGCTGGTGAGATGGCTCAGTGGTCTAAAGCACCTACTTAGAACAAGCTAAGCTAAGCAAAGCACAGGGACCGCAGTTCAATCCCCCAGCACCACATGCCAGCCAGCCCTGCCCCCTGGTGGGCTGAGCTGGCCACACACGCACACACACACACACACACACACACACACACACACACACATACACACACACACACATAAATAAAAATTTAAAAAAATGATTTTTCTCACTCAGAGCTTTCCTCTTCCTCTCCATGAAGTTGAGGGGCTCCTTAATGAACTGTACCTCTCCTTCCAGCTGTATATCCGGGGGGCCAGGTGTCCTGGGGGTGGAAGCACCTTCAGGGCTAAGCCTGGCCACCACAGGTGTTCCAGAGGAAGTTGGACAGAGGTACTGAGTCTGGAGCCATGAGGATGAAAGTCCTGGTCACCCTTCATTTTATAGGGATCCCAGAGGAGCTGTTCTTCTTGAGAGGGGGGCCTGGAGCACTTCTGACTACTTTACCATTTCCTCTACTCTGTTTCTTTTTTCTTTACCTCCTCTTCTCCTTCCATGACTATTATGGTTTGAATAAAACATTGTCCCCTGAAAGGCTCATGGTTCAGAGGGGAGGTCATCGGAAGGTGTTAGGTCATGCGTGAGGCCATTGGTGAGTTCATATCTCAGTGGGGTGTTAGGAGGTGGGGCCTGGCTGGAGAAAGGAGAGCATGCCGCAGAAGGCCACATCTCTTGCCAGGCTCTTGCTCTACCCTTTGCTTCCTGATGCTGTGAGCTGAGTGTCTCCCCTCTGCCATGATATTTTGGCCTTGGAGCCAGCCGAGCAAGGAGGAAGTGTGCAAAATGACGACCAGAAAAAAATCCTCCCCTCAGAACTTGTGCATGGCTTCCTTTCGGCCGGAACCGCTATCTTCCAGTAATTTGCCAAAATGACTAACACAAAGGGCAAGAGGAGGGGAACCCGGTATATGTTTTCCAGGCCTTTTAGAAAACATGGGGTTGTTCCTTTGGCTACATACATGTGAATCTACAAAAAGGGTGATATTGTAGACATCAAGGGAATGGGTACTGTGCAAAAAGGAATGCCTCACAAATGTTACCATGGCAAAACGGGAAGAGTCTACAACGTTACCCAGCATGCTGTTGGCATTGTTGTAAACAAGCAAGTTAAGGGCAAGATACTTGCCAAGAGGATTAATGTGCGTATCGAGCATATTAAACACTCAAAAAGTCGTGATGGCTTCCTGAAATGTGTCAAGGAAAATGATCAGAAAAAGAAGGAAGCCAAAGAGAAAGGTACCTGGGTTCAGCTGAAACGCCAGCCTGCCCCTCCCAGAGATGCACACTTTGTGAGGACCAATGGAAAGGACCCCGAGTTGTTGGAACCTATTCCCTATGAATTCATGGCATAAACTGGGGGTGTTGCTCTGCCATTCAGCACCTAATTGGCAGCTTAAGTGTTCTAGGTCCTATGTAAAATTAAAATCATCCTGTGTTGTAAGGGTGGTTTTCTTAGTTGAACAGGTATGTGGTGCCTTCTTACCTCAGAAATATTTGCAGCAGATTTTCACTGTACCCAGTAATTGTGTCTAGCCTTTACTCTTCAGTATTTTCTTGCTGAAAGATACTGCTGAGGTATTGCGCAGGTGTATACCCAAAAATTCAAATATTTATAAAGTATTTATATTGGCTTGAAGATCCTGTAAATTATCATGGGGAAAAGATGTATCAAAATAAATGGAAGTCACTTCAGAAACAAACTTAAGTCCATTTCAGTTAAATAAATTGTTTAAAGCAAAAAAAAAAAAAAAAAAAAAAGAACTTGTGCATGTCAGGAATTTCATCCCAGCGATGGAAAGGTGACTCTGATACTCTTCCTTTTCTTTCTTGTCTGACTTCTGCCCGCATTGAACTTTGCCAATGTGATTGACCACAGACTAAGCCCCATCTTGCCAGGCCAGAACTTGTCTCTGCCTTGACCAAGACCTCAGCCAAGATCTGAATCTAAAGTCTCTGTCTCCAAACTCTTCTGGCTGGTGTTGCTGACTGTGACAGGATGCATTGTGTTCTCCCAGATGCAAAGTCCTAACCTCCATCTTCGACAATGACTTTCTTTGGAAATAGGGCCCTTAACTGAAAGAATTGTGATGCAGGACCATTATTAGTGTGGGCCCCAATCCAACCTGGCTGGTGTCCTTGTAAGAAGAGGAAATTGGGACTCAAGGAGATACCGGGAGATGAATGAGGACCCACAGACAAAAGGCCACATGAAAAAGTGCAAGAGAGCAGCTGGTTCCGAGCCAAGAAGAGAGGCCTCAGAGGAACCCAGCTTCCTGCTGCCTTGATCATACACTGCTAGCCTCCAGGACTGGGGGAGGCAGCCTCCTCCAGTTTGAGCCCCAGTCTGTGCATTCTGTGACGACCCTGATAGCAGAGGAATATGTGACATTTAATGGCGAGGGAGCCAAGCACAGCTCCGGCAGCCTTGATGAAGAGGAACTGCTGCCTCTGGGTATTGATCGCCAATATTCTTAGGCACTGGAAAGTGTTTGTTCTCTCCTTTCCTTGGTCCCCTTTGTACTCTTCATTAGGTGTAGTTCCTTCTGTCCATAAGCGATGAGCTTTGGGGACCCTTTCAGGGGAGGTTGTCCTGGGATAAAGCAGTGTGAAGTAATGGTTGACATAGAAGAAACCAAACGCCTGCCTTCATAAAATAATCCCCATGGTGTGACTGTGCTAACTATGTTGACATAGTTTGACATATGCTAGGATAAAAGAGTAGACTATCTTCTTCTTCTTCTTTTTTTTTTTTTTTTTTTTGCGGAACCGCGGATTGAACTCAGACCCTTGTGCTTGCTGGGGAAGCGTTTATTCTACTGAGCCATCTTCCCCGGCCCCTAGACTGTCTTTTATAGATCATCTATAAACTTGGAATCTGAAATATTCACATGTGAAATATGTTCATGTCTATTCACAGTGCTCAAAGATGAAAAAAATAAAGAAAAGGCATATTTTGAAAGGTTTCCCGCATTCCATCTAAGTTCCACCCAGCTCCCACTACCCCTCATACACACTGCTATTAATTTATCAAGAAGCCTTCTGGAGTCTCTGTGTACCTATGTAAGCAAGCAAAATCTATCCTTATACCTCCTCCTAATCTGTCACAAAAGCTAATAACCTACACATGCTATTCTTTCTTTTTTCATTTAATGAAATAATTTGGATCTCTCTTCATTTCTTAATAAACTTCTTCATTTATTTCCCAAGCTGCACAGTATTTCACTGTAGAATTTATTTATAATTCAAAAACTTATATTCCCTTACAGAAATTTATGACATGGGAAAATAGACTGACTCAAATATTATTATCCAGAGGAAACCATGATTAATGATTTGATGTATCTTTGACTTTTTTTTTTTTAAATCATTGGTACATTTTATTTATTTATTTATTTATTTTTAAACATTTATTTATTTGTGTGTGTGTGTGTGTGCGTGGCCAGCTCAGCCCACCAGGGGGCGGGGCTGGCTGGCATGTGGTGCTGGGGGATTGAACCATGGTCCCTCCGCTTTGGCCAAGCTTGTTCCAAGTAGGTGCCCTAGACCACCGAGCCATCTCACCAGCCCCTATCTTTGACTTTTTGAGAAGAGTCATTGTTCTTTATTAAGTATTTTTCTCTTTTTGTCTGTCTGTCTGTCTGTCTGTCTGTCTGTCTGTCTGTCTCTCTTTCTCTCTCTTTGTACTAGGGATCAAACCTAGGATCTCATGCATGCTAGGCAAGCTTTCTATTGCTGATTTACACCTCCAGCCCTAAGTAATAATTGTTAAGATAACAGTTCCTAATTCTTTTTTCTTATGATGCTGTTTTTATTGATTGATTGACTGGTTGGTTGATCTCAGTGCCTGGGATTTAATCTAGGGCTTCATCCATGCTTAGTATGTGGTGTACCACTAAGCTAATCCTCAGATGTATTTAAAATTTATTTCTAAGTTTAATATTTACAACCACACATTTCTAGGATGTTTTCAATTACCATGTGGAGGTTCAACGTTATCATTTTGAATTTTCATTTAGTACAATTGAATGTATCTCATATTTTTAAAAAATCCTCTTACATCCAAATAGATATTG